AGAATTTCGCGTAGGATTTTCTAAAATTAATTTCGTTACAATCCGATAACATTGAAAATTCCACTTAAATCTCGTCGCGGCGCTTTGAAAAGCGTGCAAGGTCTAAAAATGACATTTTTCGGGTTTTCACATATATCGTGCAGTCTTCCATCCTTGTATACAAGCTTAACACCCAGTGCATTAATGCCAATGCTTTAAACTCACTTGGTTTTTCCTAAGAGCTTGCTCGAGGGTAAGTGCACTCTTAGCTAGCTTGCCCGAGTTTAATTTCATTCATTCGGCTTTAGAGTCTTATTCTCTAAAATGTATGAAAAGTACCTTTACCTTCACCTAAGCCACAACTCGCTCAACCAGACTAAGATTTAGTGCCAATTCTACGTCAATATTCATCGCCCAAGTGATTGCACCCATTTTTTCTTAAAATGTGGAGATTCGCCCTGTATGCCTCACAGCGAGAGGCACATCTTCAAAACTTGACAAGAGGACCTCCCTCTTATCTCTTCCTTGTTGCCACAACCTTGCTTGATTCCACTTTCTCGGCCTCCTCCTGCACAAGCATTTCCGTCCCACTTTGCTTTAGGCCAATGGGCCCACTCGCTTCTACAACCTTCGTCTTCTTCTTGCTCCAAGCGAGCTGGAGTTCTTTTCTCACTCCAATTTTTTCTTAGGGAGAATAGCATTCTTCCAACCTCTTAAGGCTCTCATCAACAAGCTAGGAATGACTCAAGTCAGCTAGCTCGGGTGAGTTAGTCAAAAGTTTTGGGGAGCTGAAGGGTAAGAGTGTGGCTGCATCGTACTATCCTGGCTACTTATAGGTGGAGAGAGCGTGAAGGCCCAAGTCAAATTCATAATGAACCAAGAACCTTTACAAAACAAACTCGACATGACATCTGAGGTTATAGTAATGACAAGATAGTAATTTCCGCATGCTCTTATCTTATGCTATTTGGTGAAAATAACAAATGCTCGCCTTTCAGAAGATCAAAAGAATCGAGAAACTAAACATATACTCGCATCTTACTATATGTAATCCCTAGATACCTAACATGTTATGGTCAAGGAACTTTTTTGACATGGTCATGTCGCCTAAAAGGTGCTCGCTTGAAGGCAACGTGACCTCATAGAATGCTAGCATATTTTGGAGTTTTTTTTTTTTTTACTTTGAATGTTGTGGGAACATTTTTATTGACAATTCAAAAATTTTCACTATCCGTTGATCAACTTCTAGTAATAGCAGGTGTCATCCGTTGATAAATTTGAATTCAACAAATTGAAATTTCAGTGGCAATGTGGTTTGAAATTTTTTGTGCCAACTAATTACAAGATATTTCTCATAAGTCATAAACAATTGAAAGTTTATTAAATGCAATTTTGTTTTCGTCTTATGGCATTTGGAAACTAAAAAGAGTGGGAAGCTTTGCTTCATGTAATATGAAGAAGCCATCACAAGTACCAACTACGAGACCTGAAAAGAATTACTATTTAATTTTTCTAATTCTATTTTGTGCATGCAGTTGATCTTATTGAAGTATGCCACCCTAACAACTGCAACATAGGGTTGCTTGCCTTTTCTCCATTGGGTGGTGGAAATCTGAGCGGCAAGTATTTAGACCATAATTCTGAAGCTGCTAAAAAAGGCAGGCTTAACCTCTTCCCAGGCTACATGGCCAGATACATAAATTCATTATCCAAGGTTCAACCTTTATCACAAATCTACTGCTAATAATTATTCCGTATTTATTGTCATATTCCTCATGATCTCTTATTGAGATGCAGGAAGCAACTGAACTATATGTTCAAATGGCCAAAAAACATGGTCTCACCCCAGTCCAACTAGCTCTAGCATTTGTACGTGACCGTCCCTTTGTGACTAGTTCAATCATTGGCGCAACTTCACTTGATCAGCTCAAGGAAGATATTGATGCTTTTATATCAACTCCTCGACCATTGCCACCGGAAGTTGCAAATGATATAGAGCTTATCTTCAAGAGATACAAGGATCCATCAATCATATGATGAGGTGTTCTTCAACGGTAAGATAAATTAGAGACTACTTACATGGCAGTCAATTGATGGTTACGTGAGAAACAGTGCACAAGAAGAAGAAAAAAATTGTAATGGATTTAAATAATTTCATTTTGA